AAATAAATGATTGATTGCATTACAAAAATCTTCACAAATTATATTTCAATAAGCTTTAATAAAAGAATGTGAAATGCCATCAATGCCTGGTGACACATTAGCACCAAGGTTTTTGATAACCTCCAACACTTCATTCTTAGTGAAATCATCCTCCGGCAATCTTCTGACCTCATCCAGAAGCATACAAGGACTCGGCTAACCGTTCAAGATGCACTTCCTAACTCACCACTTATCTAGGAAGTAATTGAAAAACACTTCCTCCATATCCTTCTGATCTTCTACTAGAACTCCCTGAACATCCTTCACATGATTTATCCAATTCCCACTCCTAGCACTAGCAAAAGCATAGAAATATTCTGAGTTAGAATCCTCATCCTTAATCTACCTGACTTTGGCCCTTTGTCTCCACCAAGTGTTCAACCGAGTAACAAACGCATTCAATTCACTTACATTAAATCTTGAAAGAAACAGTTTTTCTTCGAATAACCAGCCATTTTCCGCCTCCTCCTGAAGCTGCAGCACCTCCTTTTTAAGGTTGTCCTTCAATGATAAGAAGTTCTGTAGTTTGGCTTTACGCCAAAAAAATAAAGCTCTAAACGTTCTCTTGCATTTTTTATTCAACACCTGAACCGCATCCCCCTCCGAAGATTTGTTTCAGGTTTTTGAAACAATGAAAGAAGAAGCATGATACGAAGCCCAAATATCTTCAAACTTAAGAATTTTTTTCCTCTTAAAGGAGTTAAAGATCTTCAAAACAATTGGACAATGATCCGAAGCTATTCTAGCAAGATGTCTTACAACAACCACTTGAATCTTCTCTAATGCAAAAAATTCAATAAGTAACTATCCAATCTTTCCAAAATATGGCCACCACCGCTTTTGATATTGCACCAAGTGAATTTAGGGCCCAACAACCCCCCTTCATGATAATCATTGCTATTCATAAACACCTTCATCTCCTTTGGACCTTGTGAGAAAACAACTTCTTTCCCCCCTCTTATCCTCTTGAGATAGAATACAAGTAAAGTCATCACCAACCACCAAAGGGATGTCTCTATGTGAAAACGATTGAAGACAGTCCCACAAATATCTTCTTTTACACACCTCTTGCTACCATAAACCATAAAAATCATTCACTTCTTTCTTCAAAACATTTAGATCACCAATAACACATTGGGATGAAGCCTTTAATAACGAAAATGAAGCCAAATCTGATTTCCAAATAACCATAATCCCTCGAGACATTCCCTTAGAAGGAAAGATGAAAAAATCCCACTCAACACCCATAATTTTATTAAACTCCACTCTATCCATTAAATAAATTTTAGTCTCCACAATGCTCACAAATAACACATCCATATCTTTGACAAATTCTTTTAAATAAAGAGAGGAATATCTTTTTCTAGCCCCTCTACAATTCCAAAAAGCTACGGAACTCATTAAACATTTAAGGGGGAAGATCCCCCACCCTTACCTTTGCTCAATCCCTCTAGCTTTCTATTTCGAGAAAGGATTTTCACTAGCCCAAGGGACTTTAGTTCCATGGAGAGCTTAGATTTAGCTACACCCGAGCTGCCATCAACCTCCTTACTATTAGCAAGGAGTGCATTAAGTTCATTAACTAGTGCATTAAGTTCAAAGAAGCCATAAAATAATTCAGTCATCATTTTGCCTTAATTCTAGTTGAATTTAGACAGCATTTTGAATTATTAATTCTCCATATATTGCTCAAATGTTGGGCATCTCAAGCAAAGCCCAGGGTTAAGGGGCAACACGAGGCATACCCAAACCAATCATACCGAGAATGAAAATTTGGATGGTACGAAGCATCTAGGAATCTCAAGGACCACACAATTCATTTAAAAAAAAGGTAAACTGACATTAGCCTCACCATAGAGAATGACTCTTAAAAGGGAATGACTCTTAAAAGTGGTTCTGTCCATGGCTCTATCAGATTGTTGAAAATTCAAAGAACTCATAGTCAGAATTGAGGTGAGGGAAGTGTGTTTCCAATACAAGCACGTTGAGAACAATGCTTATGGAGAACATTCGAGCTCAACTCCAAGGGTTCATCGGAAATTAGTGAATTTGGAGTAGAATGCATAAGCGAAATAGAAAATAAATATGCAATAAATTTACCACCGTGTAAGAATGGCATTAAGGCCTTACATAGTTGGCCACAATTCCCTTGGTTCATTGAGCATCCACTGATATTATGGTTAACCATGCGAGTTGAAGAAGAAAAATGAGGAGATACTACATTAGAGGGAGAGTTGGAGTTAAGCTAGTCACCCTATACCCAAAATTAGCTTTAACAGCAAGAGCACAGCAGACCTCACTACTACTCCTTGGAATGGGCACGAATTCGACACTGCTTCATCATGCATCTAATCCAACTCACTTGACATGGTTATCATGCCTCTAAGCCCACTCACTTGACATGGTTATGGAAGCTTTAAGATGTTTAGGATGGCACAAAATGCTCCAAAAGCAGTGGGATACTAATCCCCAATGCATAGACCATCTAGGAAAGAATATTTTTAAAATGATTCCAACCCTATTTGGTACAAAATAAGCAAAAAAAATTTCTTGCAGATCCTGATGGGGGTCATCAACTTGGGTGTTGGATTTCAGCCGAATGAAAGGAAGCCCTAGAAGCACACAATTTATCTACAAATTTTGTACCATTTTAAGCGTTAAAATGATGGCATGCCAAAATGAACATGCTCAAGTTTGTGGACCCATAAATAAAAACTTGTCAGAAAAGGTCTACATAGAAATAGGATGGCAGACATGATTAACACTACCCAAGGCCAACCCCAATTGACCGAGATAATGAGGTTGATCATAATCACTCTTTTTTTTATTGCCAATTTGGGTCATTTTGATACTAGGATAATTTCGGATACATCTAGCGGCTCTTCAACACGACCTCACTTGAGAGTGCCAACATGGAACAAATCTTCGAGTCCACAAATTGGGGTACTCAAACAAGATGACCATATTGGATCAGATCATCCAATAGATACATGGGGGATAGATAGCTCAACTAAAACATGATGGGGTTGATCTAGTCAAGTAAGACAGAAGTGACTCAAGCATGATTCAATTAGGTTAACATGGTGACCCCACAAAATTTGTGCCATGTCTACTGAGATAGCAAGGGATCAAAGAAAGTGTCCACCAATTCAAGGCTACACCAAGCCATCCATGAATACTCTTATTCAATCAAACAACACTACCACGTCCATCAAACCAGGCAGCCAGGTTGTAAAAGATTAATTCAATTCTAGGATCTTCTTAGAGGTCAACAATTTATTGCACAATACTTCAGACGATACCATATCATCATGATAGTATAAGTCATTGCAGGTCCTAGTGCATCCAATCTTAATACCCAAGGATGAATTTTAAAATTCACAATAAAAGAAAGAGAACCAATGGCGCAATTCAAATATTTGATAAACATTTTGTTAGAGACAATATTACGCCAGAAATCTAGAACATGAATGCAGGAAAAAATCAAATCGATCATCCAATAACACCCTTTACTCGCAATGAACAAAAGAGATCGATAAACCACTTGAATTTTAACATAATCAAGATATTTAGGTGTATATGAAATAAAACACCGTGATTCCCAATCATATAATTGAATGCCAAGGCCACCGCCTTCAACTGTAGGGCTTAACTATAACTTCTTTGAAAAAACAACATAGAGAGGGTTAGGATAGAATAGAGACGCCTGCAGGTATCTTAAATTGATTTCTAAAAGCTCATAATTGTTGGTGAAGGAGATACGCCTTATTTCCTTGGTTTTTCATTTAAGGGTTTCTCATGAATTTTTCAATAGGTTCCTTTACTGCGATCAAATTTTTGTTAGAGATCACACTTAAATCAGATTAACTATTAGACTGTTTTATAAATTATATAATCCAGAATATTATCTCATTCATAAAAACTGAGTCTTACGTAGACTTTAGCAATTAATTATTTTGAACTTACATGAATCATCTTCCCATAGCATTTCTTCTGTCAAGCCTCCGCGAACACTTCTAATATGTTGGGAATTGGTTCATTCCTATAAATGACCTCTTTCTTCCTCAAATTCCCCATTTAATCCATAGAGTAAGACAAGGCCACATTCTTTCTCAAGTTTTCGGATAATATTTCAAACTATCTTTAGGGAAACTCCAATTAGTTTCAAAGAATATATCCATCATGAGTTGTAATTCAGAGAGAGTATTAAAATATTTAGTTGCACATTGACGTGTATTCTCCATAACAACACAAATATCAAAGCATTGTGTTTTCTTTTTGAAATTAAAATTAAGGATAGGACATTAAAATAAAAAAATGACCCTAAAGTATTATGCAATTAAAAAAATAATTGAGACTTACAAGTAAACTTGGGTAATGTTATATGAAATAAAGTGTTGGGTAATAGAAATGTTATCAGAAGCTAAGTTGAAAAGGAAAAAAGAAATATAATAGGATGGATGCAAAAAAAAAGAAGGTGAGAGAAAAGTCTATGTGTGCATCGTAGGAGAAAAGTATATCCATGTGTTTGCATGTACAGCCCAACCCCATAAAAATCCTACCAAAAATGATTATCGCAATTGAATTATAAACCTGCAAAAGATGATGTGATGACCGTATCAAAAGAAAAAAAGAAAGATTAAAAGAATGGCTGATAATACTTGTAAAACAAATAATGTAAAGGATTGTAATTAAATGTATGATATAGCCTATAGTAAATACAGGATCTGACTCTTTTGAAGAAATTGATGATGACTAGATGACTAAAACATTGTTATGGACTTATGAAGTAAATGTAGATGGCAAATCTAGATTTTCTAGTTTGGCAGGGCATATTCCAATGCAAAAAATAAGAACCTTGTTCACACAGGAACAGTGTCAAAGTAAAATAAAGCATTTATGTATCAGACAATGAGAAGCGAAGCATGACTGAAAAAAGGAATGACATAAGATTTGAATACCTTTTTCCTTCCATATCTACTCCGTGAACAAGAAATTCATCAGCAAAGCTTGCAAGGAATGCTAAGTTTTCCTCATCCAAACACAAATTACTGAATTTCTGCCATCTATCAGTTACAATGACATACTTCTCATCCTGTACATGAAAATTCAGGTCCTTAGAACCAACCAAACCAAACAAACATGATTCAAATGAGTAAGCACATGAATGTAAACTATTATTAGCCCATATAAATCAATGTCAATATAAAGAAAGATATGGGGGGCCAACTGCCAAGAATCATTAACTTAGAACCTCCTGGCCTACTGATTAAATAATTTATTCAAAGAACAATGTGTCATTCAGGAACAATATCCAACATCTTTACCATCAAGAAAAGTACCGAATTTCAAATCGAGTGACTAAAAGTGATATTTCTGGAACATAATAAAAAGGAATACATTATCATCATCATAAAATACCAATTCCTTAAAGCCTTCTGGCTTGCTTGCATTTCATTGCTTCTTTGCTCTTTGTCATATATGTTGAAGCTTCTTTCCTAATTTTTTTTATTCTAGCAAAATGCAAGCAATAGAAACTAGGTTAATACTTCATTTCAAATTGATCATGTGTAATGATAAAGATATCAAAACGTTTATCTTAAATGTTATTTTTGGTAAACTTCAACCACAAAGAAATTCTACCTGCAATAACTATAGTGTAAATTCTCTGAAACCAAATCAAACACACTGTACATTCATATATCTCAAAAACTCTATCCAGAAGCAAGTCAACCAGATAAAAGGATTCTTCTGACCTCTAATTAGTAACTGCACATGAATCAATTGTCCATAAGCATTTTAATATTATACTTTTTACTGCATATTTTTTGGATTGTAAATCTTATGTAATTGGATATATTATCTTATTGTTTACATAGAATTTTCATGTACCCCAAAACCCAATAAATACAAGGTCCTTGGGCAATTTTTGGAGACAAATCATTTGGGAGCTTTCGGATTCCTTAGTAACTTTCTATCTCTTCCACTTTCTCTCCTTTTTGGGCTCCACTAGAACCTTGTAGCATGCAAATAAACATCAGGTGTCACCCACAAACTGATTTAGAATCTTTTTGGGCTCCACTAGAACCTTGTAGCATGTGAATAAACATCAGGTGTCACCCACAAACTGATTTAAATCCAACACATGCAACATGAATGTTCGGCTAGCGAAAATACGCGTGAACCTCACTCTCACATGGTTAAGGTCCCCTCTTTCCTTGAGGTAGATTGGATTTAAAATTTAACCAGATTTCTCCTGAGAGTAATGTCAGAGTTTATTTAGATCTAAGTCCTACCTCCTATGAGCACAAGCCCTTTTAGTTAATTACCTCTTCTAATGCGTAGAAGAGCACTCTCGATTAGAGATGAAATTATATTTAGTCTGTCATGAAGTGCAGATTTGTGTACAACAATGTGTGAATGTTCTATACCCTATTTGTGGGGGGATGAAGATAGACCTGATCAGGATCCCATGATTCCGTCATCACGGGCATACCATAGGATTCAGTCTACCTATACTAACGAACATTGATCGTAGTGTCCAGAGAATCTAATTAGCAGTCATGGATTGCCTCCTCTAATGGATCTCGAGTAGATTGAGGTGGATATATATATATATATATATTAATCATTTAATTTGAGTAGGGACTTATGGCTTCATTTTGAAGTTGCATATAGTATAGGTTTGGGTTGGGTCTTACATCTCCGTTTAGGAGTTTCCCGTAATTTGAATTTAGGCCAGGGCTTACGACTTTCATGTGAAAGTAGCTCGTGTGATTGGATTTGTGTAAGGTCTTATGACTTTCATTTGAAAGTAACCCGAAAAGCGGATCTTACGACCTCTATTAGAGGTGGCTCAGATAACCGGTCTTACAACTTAGCCTTATAGGCTAAGATGCCCATGGGGTTTGTATGCTCAGATAGGTCTTATGGCTTTTAGGTTTAGAATTTGTCTAATGGGTCTTACAACCTAGCTCTGTAAGCTAGGTAGTTCGTATAGTGGGTCTTACAACCTAATCCTATAGACTAAGATGCCTAAAGAGGGGTCTAGAATTATGTTATTACCTAGACATTTTCACTAAAAAAGGCGGACTTACGACTTTCATTGAAAGTAGTCAGGAAGGGGTTTAGGTTTAGGTTAGTTTTACCTAAAGATTCTCCTTATAATCGGTCTTACAGCATCTATTAGAAGTTATCATATGAAATTTCAGATGTAAATTGTTTCACTTACCAAATATACTTAGTGAAATAATTACCTGTATGATTTATTGATTATATTAAAAATAACTTATAGGGCTTAGGTTAGCGATGACATAGCTTTACACTTTTCACTCGCTTGACACCAATGTTAGCATTTCATTTTTGCATGCAATGGTAGTTTCTGACATATAACCGTAATTTTCTTACTAGTTTTGGCGGTAGCCTTATATGCAGTAGGTTTGTTCAATTACGTACTAGTTTTGTTCTGTTTAGCATTAATTTTACATTACTTGCTATATTTAATACACTGTATTAATGCCATATTTGTTTTCTTACTAGCTACGGCTTTCAAACATCAGCTCTCCAAACATCTACAAGCTAACGATCTGAGGGAGTTTGAGTTTGTTTGAGAGCTTGCAATTTGTAACTTGTAGCTATTTGGAGAGTCTGATGTTCGAAAGCCTTAGCTTGTACTTAGGTCGTATTAGTGGAAAAATAATGAAATTCCTACATTTTCTTTTCTTTTGTGTATTATTTAATTAGATTAAATTTTAATTGCTCAGCTCATTAATTAAATGTATTTAAAAATTATTCAATTATTTAAAATGATTGCTCAATTAATTTGATTTAAATTTTAAATTAAAATTTATTGCTTAGTTTGAATTCAATTTGTTTAAATTTTAAATGTTATTTTTAAAGTTATTTGATTAATTTATTTATATTACTAATTAAATCTAATCACTCATTCTTTTAATTGAATTTATTAAATGTTATTCAATTAAATTTGAGTTTTAATTAAATCTCAAATTAATGATTAATTTCAGAATTAAAGATTTAATGACTTAGATTTCTTTTACTTGACTTAATCAAAATTCAATTTATGGACTTATATTATTTAATTATTTATATTAATTTAATTGATTAAGTTAATATTAATTGGATTAGTTTAACTCAGTTAAAATTTTGATTTAATTAAGTTTTATTTATTGAATTTTCATTCCAGTTAATTGAATCCCAATTTAAAATTTGAATTTTTGATTTAAAATTATTATTTTTGATATATTTTAAGTTAATCAATTATTTAATGACTCAAGATTGAACTTCAATTTTAGAATTAATTACTTAATTGATTAGGTTAGCTGTTGAATTTGTTTTAAATTAACTATTAGAGATTTAGATTGAAATAAATCAGTTAAGTTTAAATTATAATTTAGAGTTTAAAGTTTAAATTTAATTTTTGAATCTCAGTTTTTTTTAGATAATAAGTTTAATTTAAATTTTAAGGTAAAGTTTTAAATTAATCAGTTAATTATATTAGATAATATTTTACATTAATATTTGATTAAATCTTATGCTTTAGTAAAGCGCTCAATTGAACATATTTAAGTTTATTATTTAATTGGAGTCATTTACTTAGTTTTCATTTTAGAATCACTAAACTATACTCCAATAGTCCTTGAAAATTTTGGCAAGCCTTCGTGGCTGATTTTATAGTTTTCTGGCGAAATTTCGGCAGCCTCCTAATGCCCCCTATCCACTAAGGGAGGTTTTGGGAGGACACTTGCCCTTTTGGGACCAAAGAGGACCGGCTCGTTTTTTTTTCTATGTGACTCAACGGGTTCGTCTGCTTGTGAGGCGAAGCGACGAGCGGATCACGTAAGACCTGAGGTTTACATGGAATAGACGGTGCGAAAAGTGATTAGAACCGCACAGAGATGGAGAGCCAATGTGCAAAAAAGCAGACGGAGGTTAGGGCTGAGCGTTGGAACTTGCACCAAATTGCTAGAGAGCCCAAAACCAAATCCTATTAGTGAGCATAACCCATTTTCTTCTTCCTTCACTATTTTTATACAATTTGCACGATCAAGAGTCTCAACCACGTCATGGACGACGTGGGTGAGTGGTTCAGTTGTTCCCCCGACCCTCCCCTTCTGTTTTCTCCCCTTTTTTTGTTTAATTCGAACACGTAATCTTTCGCACATGCAAATTTTAAACTTTAAGCCCATCCTGATGACCAATGATAACTGATGCAGTTTGCAGAACAAAGTGCAGGCAGTTATCAGCTCTTAATATAAACACATCAGTTGTTATCTCCACCTTCAAATAGCATATATCATAAATCGAGAACTTCATATTTTGCTAACAATACATATCCGCAACTCTTGTAGAAGCAGCAGTTGATGATAATATTTAATACACTGAGAATATAGTATATATAAATTATTGCAAAGCCTAAAATATTAGAGAAAGATCAAATATTCCATGTTGGTTATATATCCTCATCCCTTTAATCTAAAATAATGCTTCTATTCCAGTCATGACCTGCACGACCCGGTCTGGATACTCGATTTAACGAGTCGGTAACTAAAAGTCGGCCGGTAGAATATAATCATTTTAGTTCATAAACATGTCAACATTAAAACATCAAATTCTCTTTTCTCATCTGAAGAGTCACTAACAAAAATTTCTCAATTTATAAATTACCTGTTATCAGTTTCACGCCGTCTACTATAGACGAATTCTTCTATTTCTGCCATTTCTAAATCTTTGCAGACTTACCTGAAATAATTAATTAGTGGAATGAGTTTACTTCATAAACTTAGTGGGTAACTGTTAAAATAATTAACATGAAAATAAAATATACATTTCATATAATCTTTAATATACTTTTTATTCATTTCCCATATCTTTATTTTATTCGTTTTAGTCAACTATGCATATCATATTACAGTTCTTCATAACCTTTATAGAGCTTTAATATTTATTCATTTTCCTCTTTCATTTGTACATGAACATTGTCTAAATGTACCGAAGGGACAACCATTTCATAACTTTTCCTTTTTATGTGCACGAGTACAGCGTCCCCAACCAGTACCATAAGAGGAGAACTCCTAT